ACGGATAGGGATAGGGATAGGGATAGGGATAGGGCTTGTTCCGATTGGATGAGACTGCTTCTTTCCTCCGAAAGCTAGGGTTAGGGGAAAGCACAAACCTAGCTTCCGATTGATTTATTGATGACTTCTCTATTTTGAAATAAGGCTCTAGCAAGACCCTCGTCGAACTTCGTAGACTGATATATATTCAACTAAACTCTTTATGACATGACATGTGACACTTAGAAAACGAAACTTGACAGAGCTTAAAACTTTCCCAAATCTAGTCCTTTTAGCATTTAAAAGTCAAAATTTAAACTTTTTAAATTATTAAACAATTTTATGCTTGACTAATCCAATTCATATTATACTTAAAAACAGGATTAACAAAGGCCCACTTGGGCCATGTCCTGATTGTCACTGATGTATGTGAAATTAGATTTGACACAATAGAGCTTCTGTGGGCCATTATGAGCCCAAAAGCCATTCTTAACCACGCGTAATGATGGGTGTTCTTCTCATTAATCCCTTTTTGTTTTTGCTATGATTATTAAAAAAGAAAAATAAAAAATTCCCATAATTCATATAATTATTTGTCACTGTTAGAGCCACGATCCTTTGTTGTTATATGATGTGCACCGTTTCATGATTACATCGAGATTATGAATAATTGGATTGGCCTGTGAAATCTTAAAATTTGTAATTATTTAAAAGGTATTTTGGAAATAAATTATTGGATTTTGTGGCTAATTCAATTCCCATTTTGGTGTAGATTAAAATCATTTTTTTTTTTAGTAAATTTCGATCAAAGTTGATGAAATGTGTTAAAAAGTTGTAGATCAAATAAAATGTGTAATTAAATTTAATTATTAAATTTGACTTTAGATTTTAATATACACAAAACGTGAGCTTAGTTGATTACCTCATATAAAATGTGGATTATATATAGGGTTTTGCTATTTGTACACTAAATTAACCTTGGTACAGTCCTCTCACAATAGGGGGTCCACGCCCAATAAAAAAATCGTGTGACTCCATATCGTGAGAGGAGCTGTACATCACGAGTGTCAACATCAGTGTACAAGTAGCAAAACTCTTATATACATTAGGGGATATTCTAACCAATCAAATACATTGTTAATCACTTAATTTTCATAATGATGGATTTTTACCTCAATTAATTTGTATAATATTTTTTTATTTTCTTCTATGAACTTTTGTAATGATACATGAATTAGAATGTGACACATGTCCCATCTTCAGATTTTACACGTTATGTTGGGACAAGTCGTCTCATTGGTATATTTGATAATTCACTGTGAAAAAAATGTGGTTTTGAAATTATTTTTTTTTTCTATTTTCTGAAAGGGAATTTAGCTATCTTTTTTCATTTGCATTCAAATAGATAATGTTTACAGTAAATGACGGGAGGCCGAATTAAATGACAGATTTGTCATTCTCTTTTAAATAAATAAAGATAAAAGAAGACAGTAAAACAATTTAAAATAAGGAAAACTTGCAAATAGAATGACAATTTTCACTACTTTTTTATATTTGTTTACTTAAAGAGAATGGCAAACTCATCATTTCATAGCAAAAGTAGAAAGAAGGATAAGTTTTGACATATAATTTAAAGGTAGGAATGAATTACACTAAAAAAACGTTTAAGGATAAATTTGTTACATTTTGCAAAGATTGGGAATGAAAATGCAAATTTCCCTTTCTTGATTTCAGCACAAAACCAAGGCGAACTTAACAGTACCCAGTCTTATTAGAGTAAAATTGGTGAAATCCAATGCTAGTGCTGAATATCAACTCGGCTTTATATTTTCCTTAAGATCATGTAAATGCCAATCAATTCTACTGACGGTAAAAGCTATAGAAAAAAGGAAAAGAGCAAGTGCAAAGTTACAAGAATATGGTTGTTATGTTGTACCACTGGATATCCTATAATGTAAATGTCCAACTTTCTATCAAGTGAAAGCTACACATGCTATGATTTACAATAAACCTATCAAAATATTGTCTAAATTACATTATTCTCATCTGTTTCAACTCTTCTTCTGGTTTCGGAATCTAAATTACATTACAATACACTGTTCATTTGAAAAGTGCAAATTTTGAGTATGGATTGGTGAACCTCTAGGTTTCTTTGACATATTTCGCTAGAACTCATACAATGAAGACTGTATAAAGTTAGGAAGTGAAATGCGTCGCTTGCACGACAATTGAGAAATAGGCAAGCACAAAAATCCCATGTTCATTTTCTGTCAACTATCTATGTCCAAATGAATCATTATACCTAATAAATTGAAGAAAGGTCCAAGACAGCACCTGTTTTGGGTTCTTGAAGGGCATTTAGTAGTGGTGATACTGATATATCTTGCAATCCACAATCAAACACAATGACTTCATCCTCTGATACCTGGTAAAAAGTGTATTGTTATAATTGAATTCTCGCTATGACTTAAAGTTAAGAAAGCAAGAATAACACTGCTTCATCTAAATCTTACCTCTTAAGTTGTACAATTTTTTGAGAACTTTCAAATTGGCTGGCTCAGGTAGAGCCTCGCAGCAGTCAATGTACAGTTTCATAATATTATTTGGCACCATCACTGCTCAAGAATTAAATTTCTCACAGTTGAGTATATAATATCACAGAATTATCTTACACGTTTGAGTAGATTATTATCTTGTATGATATAAGCACAAAATGATATTCCATAGGTCATAGGTGAAACACCTTTCCACCTATTGACACTCCATTTTTTTACTGCAGACACTCCACTTTAAGGTATACGCCTCAAGAAGAGTGAGGCATGTGCCCCCAGGTTTGCTGTGACATTTGGATTTTTTTTGTTTATTTTCTTT